TCAGAGCAGTGACTTGCAGACTGTTCATATGCCTCATGAAACACCTTACTTTCTTCATGTCCGTCATGTCTGGTGCTCCATGTGTCCCTCTCCCTTGTTTCAGTTGAATCTCTTTAAGTGACCATTAATGTGTCCATTTTATACCCAGAGCTCTGGTCTCTCGAGTTGCTGATGCCCTTGATGGTCCCACTCCCCACCAATACCAAAGCAATGTGATCACAATTTAACTTGATCCCTATTTGAGACCATCCAATCCCCAGTCTTCTCCTGTTAGATCTCAACCTATGATATTCGATTGCCTCATGATTGTTACCGTTCCCTAAACCACCAAGTACAATCAGATCAGCCTTCAGTCTTCAGCCACCTGCAGCCTTGACAACGCAATGATCTGATCCTGGATTATGGATGACCCAATCTGTGACTGAATATGACCCAACCCCTGGAGAGACACTTTTCAGTACATCTTTGGCTGACCAGGGCTCAACACTCTCCTCCAGGTTGAATTTCCGGACTGGGTTTACTTAACTGCTGGAGTAGAGAGATGCAGAGACATGGACTTGTGTTACACTAACTGCCTGACTGATTGATTAATTGTGACCAACAGCTCCAAACTAGAAATGGCACAACTCTCAGACTGCCTTTTGCAAGCCCTCTGAATGACTGGATTCTAACCTTAGTAACTATGTCTCCCCATTTCCTTTTCACATCACCATGCTCTCTAAACCCATGCAGAGTGGTTTGCAATGAAAATTGCTGCCATATGCACTGTCCCTTACACAGTGTGCCATATAGCAACATGTATTTACCTTTCTCATTGGCAGCCCAAAGCTCCTGCTTTGTCTTCTCTGCTTATGCCTCTCTTCAGTTCTAATCAGCCTGCTGTGCTTTCTGAGCTTAAGTGCCACCTGGAACCCAGAAAGCTTATGGTGGTGCATTGTCATTGCCCAATTGGATGGAGCAATGATCCATCATACCTCAGGGAGGTGCCCATTATTGCTGCAGTGGTTCCAATGAAACTGAACAGAAGGAACATTACAAAGGTATCAGTAAAGACAGTGAAAGCTGTGTACCCACCCAGGCGTGAGGCAGAAGACTGACAGGATGTGTGCTTGGTTTATGTATTATGAAGGCTTATGGTCTTATTGCCTTCTGGAAGTTAATTCTAGTGAGCAAGATAATTAATGAGATATAAATATGTGCATGTAGGCTTCTCACCACTGGATATTGAGAAAGTGATCTCGCCATGAAAGGAAAGAAAACTAAATTGTGAGGGTTTGTTTTGACAGCAAGAGTTTGATTATTGACCTCTCATTGAATTAGTTCCATCAGACCATAAGACATAGAAGTGAAGGTAGTCAATCCAGCCCATTGAGTTTGCTGCACCATTCTATAAGATCATGGCTAATCTGATGATCGTCAATTCCACTTTCCTGCGTTTACCTCCCCACCCCCAACCCTTGATTCCCTTATTGATTAAAAATTTGTCTATCTCAGTATTGAACATATTTAATGATCCAGCCTTACCAGGCTTCTGTGGTAAAGAATTCCATAGACTCACTACTCTCCAAGAGAAAAAGTTCCTCCTTTATTTCTGTCTGTAATGTGCGACCACTTATTCCGAGATTATGGGTTCATCAAACTCGACATTACTCCCGGCACCTCAGGGAGTGGAAAAATCATGCTTCACCACAAAAACACTACAAAGTGCAAACCTTCCAAGCATGTAACCATGGAAGAGTTGCATAGCGCTGCTGGTAGATGTGTCTCAACATTTCACAGAATCCCTACGGTGTGCAAGCAGGTCATTCAGCCCATCGAATCCACACCAATCTTCCAGAGAACAGCCCATGTAGACACACCTCATCCCTGTAACTCTGCATTTCCGGTGACTAATCCACCTAGTCTGCTCATCCCTAGACACTATGTGCAATTCAGCATGGCCAATCCACTTAATCTGCACATCTTTGGGCTGTGGGAGCAAACCAGAGCACCTGGAGGAAACCCATGCAGATAAGGGGAGAATGTGCAAACTCCACACAGTTGCACAAGGGTGGAATCGAACCACAGTCCATGGCGCTGTGAGACAGCAATGCTAAACACTGAGCAACTGGTAATTTGGTAACTGCTAATACCTATTTGAAATTGCTGAGATTAGTGAACTGCATGAGTGGCTGATTAAAGCAGGAAATGTGAGGTCTTTCCCATTACAAGCTGCATTCTGGAGCTGATCTGCTTTAGTAAGGAGGTATCAAACAGACAGATACTTTGCAGGAATGAGTATCGCAAGCGCGGAAACATAGAGAGATTTCAACCAGAGATTTCAGAGCTGAAAGGGAGTCCTATTGACTTTGATTTTCTCGCAACAGCTGCTTCCAATACTGCTGAGTATCTCCAACATGTCCTGTTTTCCTTTGAGAGATTTCAACTGTTGTGCTAGCCAGACAGGAAGCAGGCAATATCAGCAAGGAGGAATTTTCCTGCCCTGTGTCCTGCCCATTCATGTCAGCACACACACGGTTAGGGATTTCCAGCTCCAGGGAAATGTTTTAAGTGAATTAAAGTGGTCAGATGTGAACTGCCACCAAAAGAGTGTGTGCATTGAAGGATAAAATTAAAAAGCTTTGTGGGATTTTCTTCTGGAAAAGTGGAAATGGGATTGTGAGTTTATGTGGATTTAAACCTCCTAAAATTGTTGTGTCAAGATCCCTACGTCATGTGAGTTTGTGTGGGATCAGGTTGAAGATGAAACTTAAAAAATAGAAATATAGATGTGGGGGGAGCCCTCTTAGATCTGTCAAGTGGGGAATATAAATCCAATGGAGGACTGGAGGACCGTTTTTTTTTTTTTTAATTGTTTTTAACTTTCATTTTTGGAATTCCCCAGCCCGAGGATCTGTTTCCAACCTATCACTATCTTAGCAGAGGTGACGAGATCCCACCCCCAGACCCGCCCCTGGGGAAAGAGTCTACAGGCAGATGATCAGCTCTTTCAAGAACATGCTGAATGTTTTTGTGCTGAACAGTGCCCCTGGAGCTTCGGTTTCACAGGGCAACTCATTGTTGACATCTGCAACCTCCAGGAACTCAGCCCCTTCCCAGAGGAGCAGATGAACATGTATTAACCTTTGCCATCAAGTTGTCAGTTTTTGAATGGCCCTCTCAACAGCCTCTTCCTAAAGTTGTGTGCTCCCTCCCCCTGTGAAGAGAGACAAGAGTTATGACTGTTTGCAATGGTTTGTGTGGATAGGAGGTGGGAAGGACAACATTTGTGCAAAATGGCTGGGTGCAAATGGGTAACAGAATGAGAGTTGAAGGATGTGTTTCCTGCTTAGATGAGTGAGTCATGTACCTAGAGAGAAGTATGTGGAGCCGCGAGATGTGTTAGCCTGAGGAGATATGTGCAGCGGGATGTTGGGAAGACAGAAAATGGTGCATGGCAACTGACAACATTATGGCACTCAGCTTTCCCATGCTCCTGTGGTCCTGCATCTTGGTGCATTGTCCACAGCTTGAAAGGACCAGAATTCCCGTGCTGCTCCTCTGTCAGTTCCACATATGCCTGTTTGCCTAGATAGGTTGTCATCTTGCTCCTCATTTTCTGAATAGTCACCGCACTGTAGCCCCTTAGATCTTGCAGCAGGATATCCAAGTACAAGTGAGAGATCTGGGGCACAGCCTTTTCTTCATGCCCATGATTGTTGTGGTACTCAAAAACTCATGAGCTGGCAGCCCTTTGTAATCCACAGGGTGGTTCCTTCGTTTAAAAATCCTCCCTTCAACAGAATGGGTGTGACATTTAGTATGGTCTCCCTGATTGGTTGGTCAACTCAAAACGGGTTGCTAATCCCATGACTGAGTAAAAGAGCCATGATTAGGCCTGGTCATCGGTTAGTCAGGCCCTCAAACTGAAAACGATTCTACCACTCTGGCAGCGAATTAAGTCTGGAAGATTCTGTGCTTTAAGTTCAAATGTTAGTTTTGCTTTAGAGTTCAAAAATTCTCACTGTTTAGATAAACAGTCAGTATTATAGAACAAGAATACTTTTTGCCATTATTGAACTTCAGCTTGCTTTCCAATATATACAACAAAATCATAGCAGCTATTTTGTCAGACTTGTGAGAAATTCGAAGATTTTGGCACAGTGGGCCAGTGAAAACATTTGTTTCAAAATATTCTAGCCAACTAAAATGGTTAATTGATTTCTAATTCAATTTAAGATATTCAATGTCTGATATAGCCTTTATGGGCATAGCTAAATATAATAGTGAGTCTCAGATGGGCAGAGTTTAACTGTAGTCATGGAATGAGGGTCTAGACAGTAGGGGGAGCACTGGCATGAAGCCAAAGCTATTTATCACAGCTGGACTGAGCATTCCCCTGTGGCTTGCAGCACCCTTTAAGTTTACTGGGAAAGTTTGCACTGGTTTTTAATAGGATGGGCCTTTTTTAAAAGAGGTGGTATGGACTCTGTCTGGCATGTGAGAGTCAGTTCACCTCCATTAAATACCATCTTTGGATCAAATCATTGGCATGGCACATGATTTACCTTGTAATTTTAATAGCATATCTTCATCGACTATAGGCTTCATTGTGAAACCAGCAGTACTTTATCTTCTCTCTTTCTCCTTCCATCTGTCTTGATAATTTTATTCTATTAACAACAACTATTTGTAATTCATAATATCTTTAATTTTAAGCGTACGGCTCAAGGCATTTTGCAGGAGCATGATCAACGAAAATTTGACACTAAGGCCCATAAAGAGTAATTAAGTTGATGGTCAAATATTTGATCAAAAGGTGTCTTTTAAGGCACATTTCAAAGGAGGAGAGAGTGAAAATGAGATAGAGACATTGTTGCGTATGTGGTCTTTAATTATTATCTTGTAATAAGATTGAACAATGAAGTGTATATATCTTGAAATAAATGACAGTAAGGTTTACTTTCAATGATTTATTTTACTTGTGTTGACTCACTTCTTTTCTTAAATTTAAAATGTAGATTTTAAAGAAGTCATGTACTGAAGTTTTGCACGTGGAACCATCTTCTGTATGTGCTGGACGTAAGTAAATGTGCTCGCGATGTGTTGGAGGTTATAATACTTGATGGACAATGTGCGGTTGAATGGTGACTACTGTCAAGTGCCACAGCAAAACACCAAAAACCAGTATTGTAATAGACCAAAACTGAGGGATTGCTGATAGCCAGTTAAAACAGAACTTAGACCTTAAATATATGTAAATTAAGTTAGCTAATGCCTGTTTTGGTTCTCCTGTCAAATAATACCTTACAATGAGCATAGGAAAAGATGGGCCTGTTTCATTAACATTTCATCAGTGGTTATTATAGCCAAAAAAATAGCCATTTGTTCATTTTAATTAAATTTTTTTCCACATGAAGCCAGAAGGTAACGCAGTATTCTATCCTACTCCATAGTAATGCGATTGGTAGCCCACCCACTGCCCCTTTGCTGAAACTACTCGTCCCAGGCTAGTAGGCCGTTGTTGTTCCGAAAGAAAGTTGGAGTCTAATCTGCCACCCATTGTCATTTCCAGGCTTCAAAATTGGGACCAGATGAATTTTCACCACTATTTTATGAAGGAGAAGGGAGCATCAGTAAATGATGTTCCTTCCTTATCTTTGTTAAGGAGGCCTGCCCATCATATTTTCATTCCAGGAAGATGGCAGTAAGGTGAAATTGTGTATGCTGCCTCTGGAGATAGACCTGATGGCAAAGGAGGTGGGCAGCTGGCAAAACTAGAAGGCCCACCTCTATTTAGTGGGATGTCGGCTAAGTTGTCGTCTTGACTGACAGGTTGGCACAGTGGTTAGCACTGCTGCCTCACAGCGCCAGGCACCCGGGTTCGATTCCAGCCTTGGGTGACTGTGTGGAGTTTGCATGTTCTCCCCGTATCTGTGTAGGTTTTCTCCGCCTGCTCCGGTTTCCTCCCACAGTCCAAAGATGCGCAGGTTACGTGGATTGGCCATGCTAACTTAGCTACAGTGTCCAGGGATGTTTAGATTAGGTGGATTAGCCATGGGAAATGCAGGGTTACAGGGATGGGGTAGGTGGAATGCTCTTCAGAGAGTCAGTGTGAACTTGTTGGGCTGAATGGCCTGTTTCCAAACTGTAGGAATTCTATATACAAAAATGTTTATTGAATGACACTGAGTTGAGTTCAAGCAATGTGATTTTTAAAATTCCTGCCTTGTTTACAAATTCTTCTGTGGCCTTGCTCCTCCCTATCTCTGTTTTTCACCAGTTCAACAGCCCTCTGAGAAATCTCACCTCCTTTAATTTTGGCCTTTCACGCATCCCTGATATTAATGACTCCACCATCAGTGGCTGCACCTTCATTTGTCTATGCCTTAAGCTCTGGAATACCCTTCCTACACCTCTTTTTGCCTGTCTCCTTGACTTTACTCCTTTAAGACACTACTTAAAAGCTACCTCTTCAACCAGCTTTTGGTTCATCTGCACTTTTGCAGCTTGCCATCATGCTTTATTTATAAATAGGTGTGAAGTACCTTTGTTTTTTTTTGACAAGGTTGAATATAGGGGATGTATGGAATGGACTTTGGAGATTGGATGTCTTGGGAGAGTTGGAATTGGAACTGGAAAAGGTTTAAAAATGTGTGGAAAGGGGATGATACGTGATGGATGAAAGGAATGGAGTGATTATTGCATAGGAAAGTGGAATGACATGGGGCAGTTGTTTAAGTAAGTTCTGTTGCAATAAAGATGCTGTTTTCACTACAAATGTTTTATGGATCACTACTAACATTACAATAATCTGAATTCTACAGCGTGATTCATTCCAGTTCTGTCTGGTAAATTGAATCCAAATACAAAAGGAATCATTCAAAACCTAGCCTCCAGCTGTATTTCTGAGCTTTGCACGGGGTAACAAATAAAACAAGTTTATTCTATCACAAAGTACCGGTGTTAGTGCAAAATTAATAGCGTGCAATTGAATATAGACAAGAAGGATAAGTAACAATGCAAAATTCTACATATTTCTTTTTCATAATGGGCTTGGGGAAAGGAAGTTTTCAACTGAACTTCCAATGTCGAAAATCTGAAAATTTATCAATGGAAATGACTGATTTTGTGCCTCTCTATCTTCTCCAGATACGTGCAAGTGTCTTTACTATACAGTGTAAGATTGCTAATAAACTAACTTTGTAGTAAAGGGAATTTTGCTTCATTCTGATTGTAGCAGAGTACAGCTGCGGTTCAAAGCTGCTTTTAAAAGCTTTTTGGATAGTCTGGGCTATTCATAAATTTTTTGTGATGAGCTCTGCAAAATATTAAGAATTTATAGTGTGTTTTTCTGGTTGCCACAGTACAGTAAGGACGTGAAGACTTTGGAGAGGGTGCAAAAGAGATTTACTGGGATGTTGCGTATTATTATCAGGACAGATTGGACAGATTAAGATTGTTTTTGCTTGAGCGTCAGAGGCTAAGAAGTGACAAGATAGAATTGTGAGAGGCATGGATAGAGTGGTTGGTCAGAGTCTTTATTCTGGGGCGGAAATGTCAAATACTAGGTTGCGTAGGTTTAGGGTGAGGGGGGCAAGTTTAAAGGAGATGTGCGAGGAATGTTTTTTACATAGAGGGTGGTAGGTGCCTGGAACTCGTTGCCAGGGGAGCTGGTAGAAGATGATACGTTAGTGAACTTTAAGAGTCATTTAGACAGACACACATGAACAGGCAGGGAATGGAAAGATACAGATCATGTGCAGACAGGTTGGATTGGTTAAGAATCGTGGTCGACACAGACATGGTGGGCTGAAAGGCCAGTTCCTGTGGTGTACTGTTCTGTGTTCTGTTTGTTTGGGAGTCGGGATCTTTGAATTTCTGTCAGTTCCTTCTTGCTCAATGCTAAAATATGATGCAGATAATTTTGATATTGGTTGGTCTTTTCTAACAGTCAATATTCTAGCTGCCTGTTATACATTTTTCCCAATTTTCATTTCCGTTGATGGCAGGAGAAATATATAATGACTGGTTGGTTTGTGGTTTTCCTAAAGATAAAAATACCTTTGAGACATATAACAAGTAGCTTGACTATTATTTGGGCACAGATTAAACACGATGCAATAACACTCTGTGAATCATTAGAATGTTAAAACTGAGATGGGAAGTTTGTACAAACTATTTGCCAGTGCATTTATGAAGCACAAAAGAATTCAGCAAATAATATTAAAAACACTATTTAAAATTACTATTAGCAAACTATGTAACGGGTTAATTACCAATTTTGTGAAAAAGTAAGTCCTTGAAAATGTACAAGTTTTGGATCGATAAGTTATAGAGACATAGAGATATCCAGCATGGAAACAAACCCTTTGGTCCAATTCGTCCACGCTGACCAGATATTCAAGATAAATCTAGTCCCGTTTGCCAGTATTTCGCCCATATCCCTTTAAGCCCTTCCTATTCATATACCCATCCAGATGCCTTTTTAAATGTTGTAATTGTACCAGCCTCCACCACTTCCTCTGGCAGTTCATTCCATACACGCACTACCCTCTGCATGAAAAAGTTACCCCTTAGGTCGCTTATATCTTTCCCCTCTCATCTTAAATCCATGTCCTGTAGTTTTGGACTCCTCCATCCCGTGGAAAAGTTCTTGCCTATTTACCCTATCCATGTCCCTCGTGATTTTATAAACCTTTATAAGGTCACCCCTCAGCCTCCGACACTCCAGGGAAAATAGTCCCAGCTTATTCAGCCTCTCCCTACAGCTCACACGCTTCAACCCTGGCAACATTCTTGTAAATCTTTTCTAAAACCTTCCTGAGTTGATAAATGAAAATGAAAGATCAGTTCTCAAAGAAGATTTCTCTTCCTCCCCCATTTGGCCTTAGCTCAACGAAATGCAATGATTTTGTCACTGCCAGGGATGGTGATGGAGGCACATACAATCGGGGCATTTAAGGGACTTTCAGATAAGTACATGAATATGCAAGGAATGGAGGGATATGGACCAATGGTAAGCAGAAGGGATTAGTTTCATTTGGCATCATGTTCAGCACAACATCGTGGGCCAAAGGGCCCACTCCTGTGCTGTACAGTTCTGTGTTCTATGTTCCATACTCCTCGGTATCAACTGGGAACAGAGATAGTTGAGGACTACCTTAATTAGAATATATATCCTCCCTTGGCAATGTTCAGGAATTAGACATGTTGGTCTAGTTGTGGTTTCAATAAATTGTAATATTTTTTGCACAGAACTGAGTAAGGTATTGATACTATCTTGTGCATGTTCAGTATAATCAAATTCTCCTTACTGTGATTTGGTATTTCTGTACTTACAGAAGAATTTAAAGTTGTGCTAAGAGGAAATGGATTCACAGCAGGAAAAGGCATAGATTTTATCTTATGTAGATACTACATAAATGCTTCAATGATTATAAGTAAGTATGTCTACACACCTGTGTTAATTTCAAAATATTGTTACTGATAATCACTTAGCTTTATGGACATTTTCATTTTTCAATATTCACAATAATGGTCATTAAAGCCTGAAAGCTACAGCAAGGAAATGATTATAACTTAAGGAACCACAAGTTTATTCTTTTGGGTCAAATGACACTATGGTTAAATGTTTTGCAAAGTTTTCTCTGGCTATTGTAATTCAGAGAGCTATGTGCTTGGTAGAGCTGTCCCACAGCTTGGCGTTGTCTGTAAGGAATGATTCCATGAGTATGAGTATGCCCCAGATGCCATCATGTCCATGATTGGGTAAGTCCGGTCTCACTGGCAGATCAGACCAATCAGAGGGGTGACTCAGTAGTATATAGTTGAGAGGGTGTTGCTAACTCTTCTCCATATGAGGTCTTAAAGCATCAGGCCGAACCATGGGAAAGGAAGCCTTCTGCAGATTAACTAACACGCCATCCACACCCATCTCTACCTCGATTGATGAATCACTACTTTTCCATCTTGGAAAAAACATGGAAGTGGCAATGAGGAGTGCATGGATCCAGAATGTGCACCGGGTGGGGAATCTTCAACATTCATCACCAAGAGTGGTTGAGTAGCAGCACTATTAACCGAGCTGGCTGAGCTCTAAAGGACATTGCTGCTAGTAGTCACAGGCAGTGAGGGAACCCACAAGAGGGAAACACTGGCTTGCCTTTGACGTTATCAATTTACCTGTTGCAGATGCATCTATCCACATCAGTACCAATTAGTCCAGGTGAAGACAAAATCCCGTCTCTACATTTAGGATACCCTTCATTGTGTTGTGCTAAATGGGAGAGGTTGTAATGCAGCTCAAAACTGGGCATCCGTGAGCCATTAGCAGCAGGAGAATTGTATTCAAACGCAATCTGAAACATAACGGTTTGGAATATACCCCATTCTACCATTAGCGTAAAATCAGGAGAACAACTCTGATTTGATGAAGAGTGTAGGAGTGCATGCCAAGTGCAACACCAGGCATAACTGAAAATCGGGTGTTAACCTGGTAAAGATACAACACTGGAGTATTTCTGTGCCAAACAGCAGAAGCAGCATGGGATACACAAGCTGATAGTAATGCTGGACAAGGCAGATCCCAGAATAAAACCTAACTATATTTTTTGCAGTTGGTTAATGTGGTATTTAGTCAATGAAACATGTTCACATAAGGCTGCAGATGGAACTTCAACAGCGGAACATAGGTTTATTCAACAAAAGAAGGAAAGTTGCATACAGAGGACTGAAAACCTTAATACAGATGGTAAAATAAAGTTTCAAACTTTTTCCCAATATTATCCATTTACCCAATTCCATAGAAATTTCACTCCTACCTCAATTCTAAGTTTTTGCTACACTGACTCTTCCCAGTTGCTTTTCTTCGGACTGCAGAGATAGATTTATGATTCTCACGGAGTCTGCTGGTGTGACTCTTTCATAATTATGATACCCTAAATATTTTCAGTTCTAACAACTTAAAGATTTCTATCCAAACCTTCCCGGTTTGGATACTCCATAGACGAAAACACTACAGCTAGGGGGACTGCTTTGCATTAACTTAAAGCTTGATTCCTTGAGTAGGAGAAACTGTTGTACCTGTTGTGAGATCAGTTACCCGCTGGAGCATGTCTAGTCTTTGACCTGCTGTTGTATCCACTGTGTTTGTATGGCTAGTCCATTTCTGGTCAATGGTAAGCCCCCAGGATGTTATTGTTTGGGGATTCTGTGATGATAACGCCATTGAATATCAAGGAGCAATGATTAGATTCCCTGTTGTTAGATATAGTCATTGCCCAGCACCTGTGTGGGGACTTGTTATTTGCCAATTGTTAATCTGAGCCTGGATACTGTCCAAGTCTTCCTGCATTTGGACAAGGACTGCTTCAGTATCTGATAAGTCATGAATGGCACTGAATATTGTGAAAATTTCAGTGAGTGACTCCACTTCTGACATTATGATGGAGCAAAGTTGATTAATGCAGTTATCATTGTAGGATCATTGTAGATCCCAACTTGATTATAAGGGAGGGCAGGACGAGGCTCAAAGAGAAGAGCAGTTTAGTGGCTTTAAGTAACCTCATATTGGGACCATCGACAGGGGGCACAGTGTCTGCCTGCAGGCGACACTGCCTGTCTGTGATAGATTTGTGTGCCACCCAATTTATCTCTGAGCCACCACTGAATTGCAGAACTGGATGTCAGTCAGCTCATTAATAAGCTGGGAATCCTGCATCATCCTGTTCTGTCCTCCCACTTAATCATGGGAGGTTTACCACTGCTAGAAGAATGACACGGGTCCCCAAACTACGTTTAAGTATTCCCAGCCACCATGTGTCCCACTGCACAGGCTACATTAAATCTAGCCCATAATATTCTCATGTTTAGAAACACACAGAAACAATGCTTGAGAATTATTTTTCATTGATAAAGTAGGTTTCTTTGAGAGAAGTCATGAAATATGCATTTTCTTTCTCTACCTTGGAGCAATCGAATTTAGTCCATTTTGTTGTATTTGAATTTTGAAGTTAATTTGTAGAATACATCCATTGATTTTATATTAATCTGTGTTATTCTTGCTGCAAAGTTTAACATTTTCTTTGTAACAAAAATGCTTAATTTAATACTTTTGGAATCAAGTTTGTTCGTTAAATGGCTCAGTATAAGGAATTCATGCAATGATTCATTTTCCAGCTGAGAGACCAACGAACATGGTGACGGATAATTATCTGCTGTGCCCAGCACCCACGCTACAGGAAGCAGGCCAGTAAGTACACAATTCATATTCGTCTGAATTAAAAATAACCATACATTAACTGAATATTGTTGAATCTCAATTCATTCTGCCCTGCTTCCAGTGTCATTGTTGTTCACTACTTTACGTTGTATCTGAGTGAAAAAGGTTTGTATTGCATTTGATATTTAACCAGAGTGAGGATCAGAAACCTTGTTCACCTTAATAGTTTCATTAATGATGGTCTACCACTGCCTTCCACATTCGGGTATGCAATGAGGAAGCAGCTCCCTCATCTACTTCAGTCAGAACAAGAACTGATCCCGCACTGTTGGCAATATTCTGAACAACATGCTGGCCAGCTGGTTAACCAGGCCAACCATCTGCCCAAAAGATGTTTGCAAAGTTTTGAAGGATTCCTTGTGACGGATCCTGGCAAACCCCCAGAATGTGAGAGTGGTAATAAGTGGTTACTTTGAATCGGTCTTTGAGAGGGGACGTAAAAACAAAAGTCAGACTGGCAAAGGGAGAAAATGAGGAAAAATTGGTGGTTAATGGGAACCCAGAAATCTTCTACCAACTATTGTTTTCTTCGCATTTACGGTGTGTGGGCATCACCAGTTGGGCCAGTACATGTTGTCCATCCCTAGTTGTCCATAGTGGTACCTAGCTGGGGATGACGTAAATCCTTGAATTGCTACAGTCCCTTTGATGTAAACATGTAAATAGTAAACGTTTATTCCTGTTGACTGTGCTAAGCCAAACTAGTGCATTGCATTGTTCTAAGTTACCAATTTGATATAATCCTGTAGGAAGTAAGGGAGTTCAAAACAAAAGTGTCTATCATCATGCTACTGGGGGCGTTTCTATAAACTTCAGAAGAGCAAGAAAGAGAGAGAGGAGAGTGTAGCTTCAGGAAAATCACAGAGATATGTATGAATTCTCATATGATTGATTACCCACATGCTGAATGGAATCATTTAGAATGAAGGGTAAGTAGGGGGATGAATTCCTGAAATGTGTTCAGGAATATTTTCTTGACCAGTGTGTCCTTGGTCCAAACGGGAAGGAGGCATTGCTGGATCCGGTGAGTCAACTGGAGTCCGAGTGTGAGTACTCGGGTAAGAATAATCAGTGTGTCACAAGGTCTAGGTTAGCCATGAAGAGCAAGGAAGAATCTAAAGTAGAACTTCTACATTAGAGGAGAGTTAATGCTACTAGAATGCTGGAGATCTAGAGAGGGTAAAATTGAACCAAAGATTGATGGTGAAAACTATAATGGGACAATGGGCAATCTTTAAGGAGGAGGCATTTCAGATACAAGATGGCTATGTTCTAACAAAGGTGAAAGTTGAGGAAACAAAAGCCAGGACTCCTTGAATGATGAGGGAGAAAGAGAATATGATGGAACAAAAATAGATGGTGTGTGATGCAAGTCAGTTAAATTCTCCAAGTGAGAATCAGATCATATAACTGGGGATGAGAGGAGAAGTAAGGAGGAAAGTAAAACTGGCAAAGAGAGAATATGAGCATAAAATGGTAGTTAAGGTAAAAGGGAACCTAGAAATTTTCTACCAGCTTTGTTTTCTTGGTATTCATTGGATGTGGGCATCACCGGTTGGGCCAGCATTTATTGTCCATCCCTAGTTGCCCTTAGTGTACCTAGCTGGTGATGAGCTAAATCGTTGAACTGCTACAGTCCCTTTGATGTAAACATGTAAATAGTAAACTAGTAATAAGAGGTGGGGTGGTACTTCTGCCAATCCTTTGAAGTGTAAATGACCATGTTCATCATCAGGTTGGTGTAGTTGAATTCTAGCGGGTACGTAGGTGACTGCTAAGGATAGCTGATAGGCCTTGCTGCAAATAGGATAGAGTGATGCTTACTAAGGAAGAGGATGCTAACAAACTAAAAATGAGGCAGTGATGGTAGAGGTGATTGGTAGAATGTACCGCAAGGCTAGCGGTGCTTAAAGTGAATAAGTTGTTAGTCTGGATGGCTAGGTACCCACGTTATGGACTTAGGGGTGGATAAAAAGCAAAAGCAGCCTTGTTTGTTATTGAAGGGAAGTGTCAGAATATGGTAGCCTTATTTAAGAAGGTCTGAATGGTAACAACTACAATTGGCTAGACATTTTACCAACATTGGTGGGAATTGTAGGCAAGGTTTTAGCAATTTTTTCTGGGTGGGGGTGAGGGGTGTGGAGGCGGCAGGCAGCAGATGGGAGGGGGTTCTGGTCACCAGGCACATGGAGAAATTTGAGTTAAGGAGAGCTGGCACAGAGTTGTAAAATGCAGGTCACGTTCAACTAGTGTAATTTTTAGTTCACTGAAAAAATTCAGACATGGTCGAGGGAATGCAATGGCTGACCAGATGGAAGTTCTTGGATATCTTTGAGCAGAAATACAATGGATTGGAAAGTAAGTGGTGCCAGTCATACCACTGCAGCTTGCAATTGATGCCAGATTGTAGGAGGATGAGATAACAGTGTGGAGCTGGAGGAACACAGCAGGCCAGGCAGCATCAGAAGAGCAGGAAAGTTAACGTTTCGTGATGAGGTGTGTTTTGAGAAAGGGTGCAAGGAATAGAATAAAGGGTTAACTATTGAACATGCACTTGGGAAGCTATGTCCATCATGATGTCAGGATCACATGATCACTCAGAGACTTCGGAAGAAGGAGGGACAGCTCAGAACTCATGCTCAGTCTTCAGACTCGAGCCACATTTCTATCATAAAGAAGTGCATCCCAAACATCCTCGAGGAAACAACAAATTGTAGTGTAGAATCCAGCGGCATTTAGGAACAGTGGCAAAGGGTCTGAAGGATACAACTTGCAGCAAACTGGCCAAAAGCTTGAGAAAATATTATCCAGCAACTGGGGAAAAGAGATAAACAGTACTCGATGAAAACTTCTCACAATAATAGGAAATGGATTCCATCTCGCTGCATCAGTAACAACTGAACACGTGGAATAGAGCCTACGAATCCTGCAGTGAATAACTCACGACCTGACTCTCCAAAGCGCTGTCCACCATCTACAAGGCACAAGCCAGGAGTGTGACAGAATACTCCCCACTTGCCTGGATGAGTGCAGCTCAAACAACATTTGAGAAACTTGACACTATCCAGGACAAAGCAGCCCACTTTATTGGCTCGACATCTACAAAGATCCACTTGGACCACAACTGATGCTCAGTAGCAGCAGTGTGTACCATCTACAATATGGACTGCAGCAACTTCCAAACCCATAACCATTACCATTTAGAATGACAAGGACAGTAGATACATAGAAACATCACCACATGCAAGTTCCCCTTCAAAGTCCTTACCATCCTGCCTTGGAAATATATTGCCATTCCTTCACTCACTGGGACAAAATACTGGAACTGTCTTCCTAACAGCATTTGGGTCAACCTACAGCAAATGGACTGCAGCGGTTCAAGTAGACAGGTCAGCATACATTCTCAAGGGCAACTAGGGATGGGCAATAAACGCTGGTCTAGCCAGCAATGCCCACATCTCCTAAATAAATGTCAATAAAATAAGAACATAGAAACACAGTACTTAGGAGAAGGAGAAGGCTATTGTTTCAGCCAAAGTGGAATTGGTCACATCTCTCACATCATTCACATTGAGACAGGGTGAGGGAAGAGCACTTAATACTATTTTACAATACCCCCACTGTGGCAGGAAGAAGATACACACGTGTGAAGTGTGTCCTACCTGAACTGCACATAGCTGTTCCCATGAGCAGGCTGGTCATTATAAATGGGGATATTATTATGGAAAGGATTATCCGCCAAGCAGAAGGAAAACAAAACCCTTAAAAAAGAAGCTGCATCTAAGAAATAGAAGAACCAGAAGGGAGAAGTATCAACTTCTTTGAGGAAATCCTGGAATTAAAAACAAATGCAAGGGCACTAACACCAAGTTAGCGGACACCCTACAGATTTTAAACTCGATGTGGAAGCAGCAGACTGAATACTTCCCCTGAGTGGCAATTGCTGACTCAAGTAACCTAACAACCATCATCACTCCATTTCAAAGGTCCAGGAAGGATCACATTGAAATTTAAAGGGCAGCTGACTGTGAGGTTACAATACAAAGTCAAAGAAATCTCTGAATATATATGCATCTTTCAGAACCAAGAATTCTCACTATTAAACAGGAAACATGAATGGATTTGAAATTGATTCTTAAAGTTAGTGAAGTCAATGATCAGGAAGAAAATTCACTATGGAATTCCTGAAGAGGTTCAATGACTTGGATAAATGAAAAACTGCGATGCAAGCCACACAGAGCCTGCAAAGCCCTTTTTTTCAACATATATTGGTTCATAGGATGTGGTTATGACTGGCTAGGTCAGCATCTATTTCCTTCCCTAAAAGAAATTAGTAAGCCAGAGGGGTGTTTACAATAATCAGCAATGACTACATGATCACACGTTGGCTAGCTTTGCATTGCAGATTTTGATTGAATTCATACGTTACTGTCTGCTGTGATGGGATACGCACCCATGTCCCTAGAACATTAGCCTGAGGTACTGATTATGTGTCACTGAGCTATTGCGGCCATGGAATTTGTCTGTTTACAAGGTAGCTCTTGCATCAGAAAAGCCACTGTCAGTTCGAAGCTGCCCTACATGTTTCTTGAGCTTTGCCATGGACACGGCAGATGGGGGCATATTGGTACCATGCTGTGCGAGCAGATATCGGGAGGTCCTGCTGGATAGTGTGGTGCAGAGGTGGCACTTCCTCTTCCCCCAAGGACCAAATGCGAAAGCCATGACACCAGACCATGCCAGCCTGGTCCGAGGTTGCCTCCAGAGTTTCAGCAGTCTCAGTCATCTGGAGGAATGCACGGCATCGTAGGAAAAACGTCAGTGACTTTCTCCACTCCAGCTTCCTCCAAGGACCACCATTCTGCTTCCGATACCTTACATTCACTCTGTTCCTCTACTGTGCCACCTTCTCCCAAGGGTCATGCTTTACCACTCTCACTAATGCCTGTAACATCTTCCCTCAGTCCCTG